TCAAGGACAGCCATCTGATAAAGAAAGCAGATGAGAAATAACTGGAAGCAGGTCAGTAACCCAATGCTTCAACATGTGCGCTGTTTCTGGTTATACAAATTTGATGGCATTGCTGCATGGTGGCAAAATGCAAGTTAGCTGACAATGAATGTTGAATGAATTCATACTGGCTGGGGCCCTGGGCAGCCTGGTCTGCTATTAAATGGGGAGGTTGGTGACCCTGCATGCAGCACAGGGGTTGGAGATTCACGATCCTTGAGGTCCCTTCCAACCCTGGCCATTCTGTGATATCCAGGCATGAGATATGGGAAAGACCTCTGTACTCCAGAATTAGGAGCACTTGTCAAGCAACAATGTGTTTTTTTTTTTTTCTTTTTTCCTACAGATCTTCCAAATGTTCAACAGGTGAATGCTGTTTAAAATTACTAATGTCTTTTCCACTCCCTAGTTACTCTGTGTAGTATTTTCTCCTGCAGTAGTGATGCTCACGTTCTTCAGATGAATGAATACAAGTTCACTGTGTCTCCTGTTGGCTGCTTCAGGCACTTTCTGATGTCAGGGAATGTGTGCTTTCTCTGCTCCACGTCAACGCTTACATGAAAGTTATTCTATCAGCTGAGCATTTCTGAAGAATGGTGACCCTCCAAAAGCAGGACTTCTGGCTATGCTTGGGTACTTACAATCCAAATGTGTTGAGCAAAACCAGTTTCTTGCCTTTTCTCATCGTTATTCTGATCAGAGTAGCTTCTGTTCAGGAGCAACGTGGAGAAACCAGGATGGGACTGTGTCACTGTCCCTGTGGTAGCAGATGTTGGACCAGGACGAACAGTGGTCTTCCATGCATCAGCAGTCTGCAAATCTCATTTGAAGAGAGTTGAGCAAGCTTTACCCAGTTGACACTTGCATGCTATTGTCCACACTTGGCTGCAGGCATCCTGATTCTGCTCCCTGTGTCCCAATCTGAAAGCTGGGGTCTGCTGTCAGTGCAGTCACACTGATGTGACCCTTAGATGAACCATCTGTGGTGCTGTCCTCAATTCTTCTGCTGGCTCTACAAATTGGTGTAACTTGGGCAGGTCTCAAGTCTTCTGAGGCTTGGTTCCCTAGCTGCTGAGCAGAGGATTCAGTTGCTTTTCCTCAGTGGCAGAGTTTTACATAGTATAAATACCTGCAGTTAAGTGTTTTGACTGTGTATTTCAGGCAAGAAACCATAAATATGTGTCAGGACTATCATCTGAATTCAAACTGGTGAACTAGAAAAAGTGTTGACAGCCTTAAACCAACTTCCCTGTTCTCCCTTTCTGTCTACCTGAAAGATCATTTGTGGAATGTATTTCTATCTTTCTCTGACCAAAAAATAAAAAAAAGAAGGCAGAATACCAAGCAAAGGAGCATGACCCATTTCTTTTCAGGCAAGCTTTAAGCCCTACGTGCTGGGAAGTGAGTGAGGCAGTGATACAAAAGGAGCTCATATTAGGACCCAGCATTCATCCTGCCACTAAAAAGTGACAAAGGCTGCCACCTTCAGATGAGATGGATATGCTTTTCAAGCTAAGGTAGCTTTATCTCCTCCACAGCTTCTCTATCATCTCTAATTATATTTAGACCATACAGTGAATCAGAAAAGCACTGCTTTACTCTGACAAAGTGACCATGAGAAATGCCATACAACTGGCAAGTGAGGTGAGCTCGAAACATAACGAATCATTTCAGAAAAGAAAAATATACAAGCAATACACCACTGCAAGTATCTGCACGCTCTGTTAATGGTGGATCAATAGGTCTGATAGGAACATCACTCATCAGAAACTGCATCAGTCACCTTCAGTGTTTATTCATAGGTCTTTCTGTGTGTAATGCCAGGTTTTGGTGCACATCATCCTGTTCAAAGTCAATGGCCATAGCATTGGACTTTCTCCACGGAACATTTTTCTTTAAATATAGCATGAAGCACATTCAAAGCAATATCAAATCATATCACACTGAGCTCTTTATTACTAGAGACTTTTGGACAGAAACATGTAATCCAGATTCTCTGAATCAATAGGCAGATGGTAACTACTTTGTTGTTCAGTATTTTTTCAGCTGGTGCACTTCAGACTTAACTTGCTTTCACCTATCTGAAGAAGAAACACTGATATAACTAAGTTTGACTGATATAACTAAGTTTGTCTTTGAGACATTTACAAATATTTGACTTTGTTTTTTCCCATTATCTCTCTCATCTTCTGCCTGAAACAGGGAACTTTAACATTCTCTTCTATTGAAGTAAATAACCTTTCACGCTATGCAGGCTCTCCTGCACAAGGGTGGGGGACCCTTTCATTCTACCACTGAAACACACAGGGTTGCCTAGGTGAAAAGACAGCTCTGACATCTTCCCTCCATACGCTGCATTGGTGCTCACATCACTCAGATACATGATCATCATGACTTCAGGCTGGTTGGAGATTTTTATTTTTGTTCACTTAAACAATGACTGTTAGCTGCATCCAGCTCTTAATTTGACTTCATGTTTTATTAGCTGTCATTTCTGCAAAGATCCTAATTCCCCCTTTAAAACATTTTAATTAAAACAATTAAAAGCTGTTTCTGAGTGCTGCACTTCATGAGCAGATTTTTCAGGAACTTCAAAGAGACGCAGATGTTTACAGAATTTGGTGTGGTGATATTTGAGGCTGCCCACTGGCAAAGAAAGGATTCATAAACATCTTTAAGAAACTTTGCTGTGGAAAACGACAACATTTCCTTCTTATATTTTAGCAAGTCTAATATTTCCCAGTCTGAACAGGGGTATTTCATAGACACAGATGTGAGCGTTGCTGTCTGCTCACATTCTGAGCCGCATCAGATACACTGCTGTGGGTTAAATGCTGCTCAGTGGTGGTACCTTGGAATGTAGCAAGAGGCCATGGGGGCTAGTTTGTTGTGTGCAAAGTAAGGTTTTAGGTCGTTGCTAGATTGGGAATAAGAAAACTTAGGATCAATTTTTACTGTTTTCTATAGCCTGCCAATGGGGTTTTGAATGGCAGTTTAACTACGCGTGTCTCTGATCCTGCTGGTAAAGGAATGATGACTCCTCCTATGTTTTAATCCCCTCTGATATTTGTAGCAAGATCTATCTCTTAGTGCATTAAGTGTTTCCTCGCTCTAGAGAGTCTTGCTTTTTTGTAATGGAGAATGCTAAGGATTTATTTGGGAAAAGTTTCCTCTTATTTCTGCTAGTTAAACTTGGAGTTGGTGTGAAGGCATTTTGGGAATGCCTCTGTCTGTGGGTGATGAGGCATGGAGTGGTGCCTGCCAAACTAAGAGGATGGGACTAGGGACGTACGTTCATGGTACACCACTTCTAGCTCAGCCTAAGGCACAGGGATCTTCTGTGGTTTAGGCAGATGTCTGTGTCCAGACAAGCACAGCCTGCCCAGCTGGGCCACCCGTGGGTCTGCTTGTGAGGCTCCTATTTAGTGTTTCTGTTCAAGGAAAAGAAAAAATCTTCTCATGGACCTTTTCATTCTGATCTGTTTTTAAAAGTGAAATAATAGAACTACTTAGAAGAAGTGTCTCTATTTCTGCTGTGAGCATCAGGCCAAGACCAGCATGGGAAGCCTTCATGGAGTTTTGCGTGACATGTCATGTAGCTGCTTTAATGTGCAGTGTAATTACAGTGACAAATTTCTGCTTCTTGGAACATCAGGGACTGAAGTGGTTGCCCCGAAGGAGAAAGAAAGTTAGTGGGAGAATTCTGACCAACTCTGGGTTGGAAAGTGCAGCACTTCCTTTGCATTGGATTAAAAGTGATTAGCATGGCCAAAGGGGTCCTGCGAGAGATAGGTAAACGGGGTGAAAGGAAATTGGAAATATTAAAAAAATGAACCTGGATTGGATAAAATGAGTTCTACACTTCTAAATTCCTCTTTGATTTGGTAGCATCAGGTGTGCTGAAGGGTGGGCTGTGCAGACTTATGCGTGACAGCAGGATGCCTTCCACATGAATAACCCCCTGAAACTAACTGAACCGCTCACAGAAGTGCCTGGCGATGTGATCTAGGCTTGAGCGTTTGAACCCTCAGATTTGATCTTTCCTCAGCAACACAAGGGCCAGGCTGAACAGTGAACAGCAATAGCTGAGCTAGAAATGTGAACTCAGACCATTCACTGCTAAGAGGCAAATGGCTCTGCCGACATGTCCCTGCTGAAGGGCATCTCAGCCCAGCTGCAAATTGGCTCATAAGAGGAGAAACCATATGCAAAAACCCTCTTCCATGTTAGTTTAGAAAGAAGGAGCTTTGTTGTTGTTTCAAAGAATTGAGCCAACAACTCAAAGCTTTGGAGTTGGTTATTGGGACTTTACTGTAGTCTCTACGAGCTATACAAAGTCTGAAGACATTGTACATACGGTACATCTTTAATAAGAAGGGAGCTCACAGTCTACCAAACTCTGCCAAATAAACTTTTAATACATACTGTACTTCACTCAGCAGTTGTCCATTTCTTCTCCACGGAATATCTAACAGCTCTAAAAATATTTTCTTGGAAGAGGATAGAATTATCATTGTTATATATCAATTGAGTATCAAGTATGTTTATGAAGCAAAGCCAGCATGCTAGTATTGCACAAGGGGAAAAGCCTCCAGAACACAAAGTGAAACAATGAAATGCCCTCAAAATTCTGCCGAAGGGAACGGGGAGCTCTGGATGTCATATCAGTAGGATCCGTGTAACTCTTAGACGTCCTTGTACTGCAGCAGGTTTGCTTTGCCTCTTCACTGCCACGTTTCTCTCTGAAACAGGTAGGGATCTTCCAGACCATTACAATAAAGAAAAAAAATTACAGCAGCTGCAGCAAAGTGTGGTACTATTTAATTTCTTGAAGAGTGAGGCTTTTATTTCAAAATATCATATATTAATATATATATATTTCTATATATATACTTTAAATGGTATAAAGTAAATTGTAGATCCAAACTTATACTGTTGTTTGTACTTTGTAATCTCAGAAACTTTAGCAAAGGAACCATTTTTCTTCGTTTTTCTTTTCAGCTGTCAAAAACCAGGGGCATTATTTCCGCAGAATGCTCTCTTTCACACAGTAAAGCCACTGTTGTCATCTGGTAAACAGTCAGAGTGCAAATAAGAAATCCATTTGGCTTGTAAATGCTGAGATGGTTTTCAACTTTCGATACTTTGTCCTCATAAATCAGCTGGGCGTTCACTGCCTCCATGCAGGCTCTGTTAGGTCCTTGGGTGGATCTGCAGGGTGAAAGTGTGAGAGTCAGTTATGTTAAAAATGTTAAGGGAGGGAAAAAGAGCTAGGCTTTTTGGTGTGTTGCCCTGCTCATTGTATTGCTGAGCTCAAATCTCAGTTTTATGTTTTGCGTCGCTTTGGGCATGAGTCCAAAAGCTGTCTACCTTCTCCTAGCTGCTGCAAGGAAGGACTTGTGGATGGGTCCACCAGCTCACTTACAGGGGCTGGGTATGAGAGAGAACCCATAACTCAGTCTTGAGTTCATCTGCTCACCTCAGGTGAGATAAATCCACCTGCATATAACATCACAGTCCATGGAATCATCTCTCTCCATGACAAACACTGCACCTGATACATCTAGATGAATAGCAGAAGGGGGTCCAACGCTTTGCTAGATCATCAAGGAAAAGCCAGGTGACTTGAATATGAGCTGGACTGTGCATTAAATTAGGGATAAAAGTTGTCAGCTAAGCACCAGCTGAAACCATCAAATGCCACGGTAAGTCTCATAGCAAGAGATATTTGCTATTTTGCGCTCTACTGCTTTGAATTGGCCTCTAATTACATAGACAGTTATTGCAAAAATAGAGGGGTTTCTTCTATTTTTCTTTAAAGAAAAATGCAGTGTGACATTATTAAAACGCATCTGGTATTAATCTAGTTGGACAAATTAGGGAAAAAAGAAAAAAGCAAAACAAAAACAATTTGTTTCATTTCCCATTTCTTTTCTTTTCCTGTTGCCTTACTCCGCTCTCCCGGTTTGCTGCTGACAAGTGGGATTATCTTTCCTAGGGATGCATGCATCCCTGTCCTGCTAAATGTATGTGCATGGTTGGTGAAGGAGCAGGGAGTGCCAAGGGGCCACCAGCACTTCAGGTGCCATTTGCTGCAGCATGAGATGAGCCAAAACTGCTGTGAAATGTGCTGTTCAGGTCACTGTAAAAATACATTTCTCCAATGGCAAAACGTGTGCTATAAACCAATGGGCTGCAATGGAGGGTGCAGGCTGTGAAGCTAGAGAGCTGCTCCAAGCGGAGCTGCTGTGCCAGTTCCCAAGTGCTGAATTTCCATTCTCCACGGGATCAGCAGAAAAACAGCTTGCTGAAGTACTCAGAGGGCTGCTATGTGAATGCCAGGTGCTATTAGTGCAGATTACTGAAGAGCATTTGGCAGTGCACACAGGGCGGCACAAAGCCCTGAGAGGAGAGCCCTTAGGGACCCTGCAAAGCGGTGCCCTGAAGGTCAGGTGTAGACAGTAGCCTGAGGTTGGGATTTGTGGTTTTGTGTTTATCAACAAGTCTGGTTCTCAGTGGTGTTTATTGTCTGCTTGGTGCACCATCTCCCAGCGTCAGGGCTGAGACCATGTGTTCCTCTCCTCCCTGTCCTGATTGCTCTCCTGAAATGTCACGGTGTAATTTCCAACCAGGTCCTGGTACTATTCCAAAAGTAACCCACCACATTTTCAAAGAAAGCTTGGAAATTTACATTCTTCAGAAAAATAAATTAAAAAAAATAGGAGTGAACAGGGACTCAAAAAGAGTTGAAACTGGCCCAAAAATTGAATTACAAAATGATTTCTTTCCAGTGTTTGTCACCTGCTCTAACTAGCAATAGAAAACAGATCAATTTACAGAGGGTGTGAGCTCTATATCTTTGACTTTAACAACTTAATTAGTGAGCTGTACTAAAGGACTGAGCCCAGGAATAAATACATGAAAAAGAAGGGGTGGAGGCCATGCTAGTAAAGTCTTCACTGGATTTGCTGTCCACCTTCTGACACTAATTACTTATTAATCACTCCTGAGAACAAAGTATGAAGTAATACACTGTGAAACTGCACACACTATATATACACATACAAACATACACGTGCTTATATGTGATACACTGCAGGCCTCAAAGATAACATAAATAGGTTTTTTTAATACTGTGAGTCATAAACCTGAATGTTTCCCTTGTCAGGACAGTAGCAGCCTAACATAAATGTATTTTGTGTAAGGAAAAGCCTTCATTAAAATAGTTTACAGCCTGTGGTGACTTGCTCTAGCTTTTCTGGCTAATCACCACAGATATATCTAGGATGTTGAGTGATTTGTGTTGCTGCTTCTGCTTTCTTAGCTTCCTTAACTACATAAATTAGACACACATGGCCCAATCTTGCAGCCCAGATTGGGGTCAGTGCAGATTATAGTGTAATCTCTTTCTCTGATGCCATCTGAAATGACAAAACAAAGAAAAAAAATGCCTGTTTCAGGATCTGATTGCTTCCATTAGTTTATATTTATGTTGCTAGACTTGACACAGAAGTACAGACTCAAGCAAAGTTTCAGGGATTATAAAGTAGAGTTTTTACTTGGAAACTGCAAGAGACAGTTGCTAAAATCATCATGTCATGTTGCCTTTGTCAGTTGGGCTCTGTAATGATACTTAAAAGCAACAAAGCAAAATTCTACTGGAAGCAGTACCATAAGGTACTTCCCTCACAAGCTAATTAAAATAACTCCTGTGGGTAAATGACAGAAATATTTCTTCAGCTATGAGCACTCACTCTGTAAGTATTTAATTTAAATGAAATACAATAATGCATACTGAATAGATTGGGCCATACATCTGCATATTAATGAAGCTGCTAAATTTCTAGCAATCACTTCTAGATGCAGACTTGCCTAAAACGAGCTTATATGATGATGGTTGGGAGAGTTAAGGGTAGGATAAGTTCACAGAACCTAAATTATGTAACTTGCAGAGAGACTACAGAGCTACTATATTACTGTAATTTAAATAGAAAAGTACAATGTAGTTCTTCATACTGTTCATTACTTCTTTAATATCCCTTTTTTCCATTTTAAATTCCTAATTTAGCAAGAAAGCTGTTGTCTCATTGAAAAGGTCGTACAGTGGTTTGTTGGGTTTTTTGTTTTTCGGTTGTAAGAATAAAAAGAAGCAGCATAACTTTAAGTGATGGTGCAAATAGCCATGCCAGGAGAAGATGAGGCTGCTATACAAATCATTCTTCCTGGGATAAATCACATGGAGGCAAAGAAAAGAATTCAGGAGCCATGCTGATCAGCTGGAGAAAGATCCCCTTCAGTGAAAGGCATGGAAGACATTAAAAATGACCAGAGTTGGGATCACAAGAAAAGGGAGAAGCCAGAAAACGATGACTGTGAACTTTCTGTGAGTTAGAATCCAGGTATGGGCATGCTGTGCTTTTTAATAAAAAAGAAAAAATTATTGAGTATTTTGCTTCTTCCACTTAACAGGTTTCAGAAGGTATTTTTCACTTCACTGAAAATTAAGATGCATTCATTCGTAAAAAAAAAATGTTTTGAGTTGACAATCTGCATAAAAAAATTCAACTGCGGTATGAAAACAATCTAATTAAAATTGCTGAATACAGGTATAGATGGCAGCTTTATGAAAATATTTATGAAATATTTGGTTAATGTAAAAAAATATATATACTTTTGAAAGAGACTTCTTTTTTTTTTTCTTCAGAGGTAATTTCATAATGGGAGAAGCTCAGCCATTTGACATTCTACTTTCTCCATCTGCGTCTGTATCTCACTAAGCTGTAGCCAGAAGCACTGGCTGGCTTGGGAGGTGTGCAGCAAACTTTGGGATATTTACAGCAGATGTGATGCTGGAAATGATGTGGTTGAGGTACAGTTGTTGACTCTCATCCCTATTAAAAACTCACAGCTACGGACAGAAAGACAACTTACTCTGGTGGTCTTGATTTTATTGCCGGTCGCACACATCCATCCAGAATTATCAGGCAATGTCTTACATTCCTCTCCTTCTAGGCAGGGCTCCATCTCACACCACCATTTCCCAATCACTATTGAAGCTAAAGGAAGAAAGACAATATCCATTGTTATGTTGTAATGAAAAGAATAGTAAATAATACCTCAAGAAGCCAACACTGTATTTAAGAGATGAAACCTTTCATCTCAGGTTTAGTTGCAAGGAATTTACATTTGTACTAGCTTTTCATCAAATACTGTCCATCCAAAACAGTGCATTTCTTGCCATAGCTTTCTTATACACGAGATCTAGTCTACTGGGATACTGTGATGATAGCAATACTATTTCAGAACAAAAAAAAAAACCAGCCAGCCTAACAGCCCTTCACTCTGAGTAGCCAGTCTGGTCTTTATAAATACATAAAAAAGAGTTGAAATAGAAATTCTACAGGTCTTCAGGATTTGTGGTTTGAGGATCTCCAAAATCAGCTGTACCTGATTTGCCTTGAGTACCCACAGCTGGCCTTTTCTCCCCCACACCTGTGCCTAATTGTGTGAACCCACGCAGCCTTTTATCTTCTGCAATATCCTGCTGTAAGGAGTACCACGACTCAACTGGAAATAGAAGGTAAGGTAATACTGAATTGCATAAGTTCTTTTTGTTGAAATGTGATTAAGACTTTTATGGAAACCGTATGGTCACTAGCAGTTGCCTTTAATTTCCAAGCATTTAGCATTCAAAGTAAATTGTAGAGTTTGAGTCTTGTTTGAGTTTAATTGGCATGAATGTTTACAACCTTGAGGGTATCTTAATGGAAGTTTTTTTTTTTGCCTGGGAATTGGTATCTTCTTATAACCTTAGCTGTATCTTAATGACAATTTTTGTCTGGGGATTTTGGTAAACTTTAGCTGATCTTGCAAATTGCAGCTAATTGAGGATTGAGTGGCTCTGTTTGTGGCTTGTTTTCCCTGGCAAGAATTAATTTCTTGGTTGCACTGCTGAAGTCTAACTGCTAAGGATTCTCCTACACTCAGAGCCTTAACTATTTTCTCTCTCCCCTCATAACTTCTTCAAGCTTATGTAATTCCTTTGATGCAGTAGCGTGAGTCGTGTCACACCAACTCTGGAAAATGCCCTTTTGTGCATGTACTGATTTAAGTGCATCCCAGAACTTATAATTAAATTATTGATTTATTTTTTATCTAGCGAAAATCTTTTTATGCTTGCAAAGTCTAAAGGAAATGCTCAAAGACATGTGCTGCTCGTTATATCTATCACCTCAATTCACAGGTACAGAAGTGAAGCTGTAGGAGATCTTTGTCCACAAGCTGAATAGCTGTCCCAATAAGAACACATTTCTCACACACAGAATTTACTCAAAACCCAGGGAGTAAACATCTTGGTGTGAAAAAACTCCTTTGGTCTTAAAGAAGAGGTCAGCAAGTTCGGAACAAATGAGTTAAGCTGTTTCCTCTCTCCTATTTTTTCTCACAGCTTGTATCTCATTTATATCATGCAATATACCATTTCTCCATGTGTACTGCACACACAAAAGACTTTACACCTGAGCTTGCAAGGCAATGTAATTATGCTATTCACACATCACTTTCTGAAGGGTATCGTTAATGCTACTAACAGTGGAGAAAAGAATCTCTCTTTGCTATGTGTGAAAAGGCACATGGTGGTGAATCTGCACTCTAATAATACATTGTGCAATGGGCAAACTGCAGATCGTGTCCTGCTAAATGCCCTTCACTGCAAGCATCTGAGCTGGGCATCCTCAGAGTGCGTGAGGACAATCTGATGACATGGAATCAAAAGTGATGATCGTATTTATTTGTTAGTGTTAATGCTTTAGCAATAAGTAACCATGGAGAAGGATCCTAAGATGCTAGGTGCTAAAATTCACAACACGAAATGTACCAGCACAGGGAGCCTGCAATGCAAGACAGTGATATGATTTAATATAAGCTAAGGGGAGCATGGGAAAACAATGCTGTTTATTGCAATTAAAATGGTCTTAGCTACTCATTGATGTTGTTCCTCAAAACAGCTCAAGTATTTGGGTATTGACACCGAAAAAAGTCAAACACAAAGTGAATGCTGAACTGTGATGTCAACCCTTTCATCTGTCAACATGCAGCTTTTAGTGTATGTGTCCATTTTTTGTGTGATCATAGTGCAATTGCAGTCACCAGTAGCCCTCATTCCTGGTCCCTTATCAGTACAGGTGGGCTGAGGAAAAGGTGGTGGTTTTTTTTTGTTGTTTTGTTTTGTTTTTTTGTAAAGGGGAAACTAAGGTCTTTTAGATGAAGAGCACCTATTTGTCTCTCATGTATAGGTGGATGCAGTCTTTGTAAGTCTGAAGCACTACAAAGCCCCCTACTGTCTTGTCCTCAGCCCCATGCTGTGGCAGGGGCATCCAGAGCCTGATGAAAGTTATTTCCTTTGAGTCTTGTGTTTACAGTTCTCCACTTCTATTAAGAGCCTTTGAATCTCCAGGACCAGCTATCTTTCCTGGGCACTGCTGATCCTTTGAGGTCTGCTCAATTTCAAAGTTTTACACCTGCAGCTCTGTTCAAAGGACAAGGCAAAAGCTTCAAAATGAAGCACAGTTGGCTGTGTTTGAACTTAAGTACACTTGTATAGGGAAAGGGTCTGGAGACCACAATCCAGGTTCATTGTTTAGGTGATGTCGCTTTGACGTGTGCTGTGGCAGCTGTGTGAGAGAACTGTTGAAATTAAGGTGCTTTCCCTTGGGGTGGTTTATATTGGAGAGCTCCAGGATCAGGAGGAACCTGAGTTCCTCTCTGAACCTGAGGTGCTAAACCCAGGTGAGAATTACAGGCTCCCCATAGTCACTGCTGTGAGTGCCTGCATAACGCTGAATGAGACAGCTGTAACATTTTGGAGCAGCTTTCACTGCGTTCTCTCTCACTGGGGAATACACAAAGTGAAGATTTTTTATTTTTTTTTTTCATGCAAGGCTGATTTGACTGAGACAGACACCCTCAGCCACAGGGAGAGAAAGGGGATGTGATTTAAAAGAGGCTTGACGGCTCCTGCTTCGTTTGTGATATTTTTCCCCAGCTCCTGCTAGTGTAAATAAGAGATTGCTTCTATCTGAGTTCTTTTCAATAAGACACATCTTTTATGAGAATATTAAACTCTGAGCACATAACTAATGGAGCTGGGGAGAAAGGGAACTTTCTTCAAAAAAATTTTTTTTCCACTTCAATTCACTCTGGACTTTTACCACCTTTATAAAGCTATAGATTTTTTAATTTTTTTTTGTAGCAAAATGTTTAACTTTGGTTGGCTTTAGTCTGCATGAATTAGCAGGCAAAAAAGCACTTGCTTGAAATGTCATTTTCTAATCACGTGAACCATCAGTGGAATAAAACAACAGATAAAAGATTTGATAATCTGACTGTGTATAGACAAAGAGCAAGACCATAGCTTATGTTTGTTAATGCTTACACGACCCGACTGCATTTTGAAATTTGTTCCCAAACACAGCACCCAAAGCCCTAGCTGGCTGTAGGGAACTTAGTTTAGACTGAACTCAATGGGCTTCAGCATGCAATGATGGCTTTTTGTCTCCTTGTGCACTATCTGGAGCACAGAAGTTGGGTACATGAAGAGCACTGGCTGGAGATGTTTTTCCCTTGAATATCAGAGACAAATTGTTCTATTATAGTGATGCAGTAGAAACACACTTGCACTCCCTCAAACACCTACATCTACAAAATCAAATCAACATGGAGCTGTTAGACGTTCAACTACCTTCCTCTTGATTCAAATGATATTTAAAGTCAATGCACAGTGCATCTGATTAGAACTTCCTTACTTGCTGAAACTCCTAAACTTGTTTTCACCTTTTCCAGTCTTCAAATTCTTGCATTAAATTGCAGCTACTGAGCCCTTTAAAGCAAAGTGCAAATCCTTTCTTGGTGCATGCAACGCTCATTTAACTTTTTTACATCTTTAATAGGAAATAGTTTTAACGATGTGACAAAGCATGTATGACGATGAGGATAAAGACGTATTTAACATAATGACTCTGTATTGGCATATTGTTATATATAACTTAAAATTCATGCTTGTGGAAAGCCCTGAAGTATGGAAACAGAGCAAAGTCTCATCATGCATTCTTTCAGCAGCTCAGAAGAAGCATGTTATGTATGAAAGTGTTCCAAGATTACTTCTGCATTTGCCATTAGAAAGCCACAGCCGCTATCTCTTTTTGCCTGTGATAAAGTAGACGCATTTGGGTTATTTACAGATAGAATACAAAGGAAGAGAGATATTAGATTGTGCTTCCTCCTGATCATAGGTATCCAAGGAATAATGAGCAGAGATGGCTTGCAGAGCCAGTATGACACTCATTGGGGATGGGGAGGTTTTTACTGTAAGTGTAAAGCATTCCATTTAATCTAGTTTCTACCAGAGAAGATTGATATAAATAAAATTTAAATAGCGAACACATTTCACAGATGCCAGCAGTGAAAAAGACTTTGTCAGTCTAATGAAAAGATATCAATTTTCTCCACTTTATTCAATAAATTGTGAGTCATTTTCTAAATGGATTAGATTAAAGGAAAGTTCAAACTCCCTGTGAGAGACTCGTGTACTGATGGAGACTTTTGGCAATAGATATAGCACTGAGGTAAAATCTTCGAGGCCTTTTTTTTGCCTTTAAGAAAAAGAAATCTGATATAAGCAAGAATAGAACTGTTTGTATCTGTACCCTGTGCTCATATACTTTAGAAAACAAAATCTTAGAGAGTTGAATGAGATGTCGTTTCTCCTATTTTACTGGGATGTCATGGGGTGCAGAATGAATTACAGGGAAGGGAACACTAGGAGGGTGAGAAAGCTAGAGAGAAAGAACATGTCATTTGAAGGGTTATGTATTTCATAAACAGAGCAAGGTACCATTTACTCTGGGAGCTGTAAACCAGCAGTCTGATAAGTTAAAGAATATAAATCCAAAACTGAAAAATTTCAGGTTGAATAATATTGTCTAGGAGAAATACAGAATTTTTCCTACCGGGAGTCCATCAATCTGCTTTAATTCAATCTCACTCCATTTTAGGAGCA